CAAAGCTAAAGAACAATGGAACAATCGTTTATTACGGGTAAAAAAAGCATTGCTTAACAAGTCCCGTAGGATGGAAATTATTGCGAAAATCAATTGCATGGTAAATGAAAGGCGTGGTGGTGGACTCACCATTGACTTATGTAGAATAGGGGAAATGTTGGCGTATTGAACGTATAAATCCATAAATCCATTGGTTGGGAGTTTGGCAAGACATCGTTTGATTGCGTTTTGTAGCCCCTCGCTAACAAGACAAAAAATGATATGTAAGTGAGACAATGCATCGTCAACACGTTTTTTAAATATCGCCAGATTGGGAGCAGAGACGACATAATTAGGGAGGGTGTTTCAAGGCTGACACACGCGGAGAGAAAAGAAATTTTTACGGTATTCAAGCCTGCTGTACTGAATTGTCATTTTCAGAGGGTGACGTCTTAGGTTAGTGTTGTGGCCCAATTCCAGCTGCGGACGGAAAATTTAGTTTGAATTCTTCAGAATTTGGTAAACCATTATGAGACCCCCCCCGCAAAAGCCGATATCGACTGCTGTACATTCGCAGAGATTTCAGTCTAAGCTGATAGGGAAGATGAAAAAGGCCCCTGACGTTCTTGATTGCCCTTCGTTGAGGAGTCTCGGGAGCAACGAGATCCTCTTTCTGCCTCGCCTGAATAGCATATTCCACGTGAGGTGGCACGTAGGTGTTAAGCATTTGGGGAAAGATTGAGGGTTCAAACCGACCGAAGACTCTGCGAGGAAGGCCGAAGTGTTGATTGCCGGTTCTTGTCGCCTTCTCTGCTTGTTTTGAACACCCGAGATCTTCCTGTACCAATACACCCAAGTCACTCTCCTGAGAGACCTTCGCCAAGGTGTGGTCTCCAATCTTGTAAGCGCTCACCAGCTGGTGACGCAGATGTATCACCTTGTACTTAGCTATGTTCAACTGAAGCATCTTCCTCTTTGACCATTCGTAAGTGTAATCTAGGTCATGTTGGAGCAGATCGTGATCTGGCTTGTTACTAATCGCCCGCCATATGTTGACGTCATCGGCGAAAAACAGGAAATTTGGGGAGATGACTCTTGCCAGGTCGTTGATAAACACCAGGAAGAAGCGCGGTCTCAGCACTGAGCCTAGTGGAACACTACATTTCACCTCAATTGGGTTAGAGAGTGATCCAATGACACATACTTGAAGCTTCCGTTAATGAAGAAAGCTGCCAATCCAAGCAAATACAGGACCTCCTATTCCATAACTCTGTAGCCTTTAAATGGCGCCTATAGAAACACACACGTGCACGCTTGAGCCAAGGCTTGTGGCATTGGACCGAGAGAGGAAGCGCGCAGGCCCAATCCCGCCAATCGTACATCCACTAAGAAAGTCATGGTGATTTTATGCAGAGTGAACGTGGCAAGCAAGCATAAACCAATGGCAAGGAAGCCAACGACACAATGCAAACAACAGGGATGAGCCACTGAGACGGACTGTTGTACGTAGTGTATGTCATCTATAAATATTTGAGCGTAATCTTAATAAGTGACTTCGTGATTGCGACCCAGTCTTCTTGCTTCCCGTAGGGCTATATGACATGGCGACAGAGGAGAAGTATCCGACTCGCCGGAACCCGCTCGTTTTTGGTGGACAGCCGTAGACCACACTGCCGACCGCTCTGCAGATGACTGAAAGCATGCTGCCAGAGAACTGGTGAATGTGGAAGGCGAAGTGGATGAATTTCGTCACGCTGATCCAGTTGGATGCTCAAACAAGGGCGTACCATTTGCAATGTTTAGGCACGCTCTGGGTGAGGAAGTCAGGAGGGTGCTCGAAACATTGGAGCTCAGTGAGGAGGTGAGGAAGTCGAACTTTTGGAAGTGCTGAGATGATTCGCGGCGTTTTGCGAAGGACTGGTAAATGAAACGTATCAGAGGTATTTATTTTTTGTTCGCGATCGATCCCCAGGCGAATCGTTCGAGACTTGCATAACAGAACTGAAACTGTTGGCGCGTAACTGCAACTTCTTCAATTGCATGCGAGACTCCTTCATACGTGCTCGCATTGTCATCGGCATAAAGAATGATGAGCTCACTCGGCGCCTTCTACGACAAAGGAACCTGTCTTCTGAACAATGTGTGGACGTCTGCATGAGTGATGCAAGGACGGCAGCAGTTCGGGCATGTGAGAGCCGAAACGAACCCCGATCTGTGCGCGGGATCCCGAACCAGCAATAGTCCGCCCCAGACACCCGAAGGACAGGGTCCGATTTGTCAGTTTTGCGGTCGTACACCTCCAAGAAGAAAGGAGAGCTGCCCAGCTTGGGGTCTAACGTGCACAAAATGTTCTAAGAAGAACCATTTTGTTCGCTGTTGCAGATCCGCCAAAGCCAGCCCAGTAGTCGAGAGCATCAAGGAACAGTTACAAGAATTTTCGGTAAGCAACTCTGAACATGGTGGAGAACACAAGTGTGTTTTCGCGACGCTTTTGATTCGAGGACGACCGGTGCGCTTCCAACTTTACTCAGGGGCTACTGTCAACATCCTAGCTGAGAAGCGCTGTGTGGGAGTGACATGTGATGGAACGCAGAATTGCCTCAGAATGTCGGATGGTTCAAAGCTGCGACTAAAACGTACGGCCCGAATGAAGGCCATCAATCCGAGAAACAACACAGAACACCAACAGAATTTCTTGATATTCTCAGGAGACCGTATGCCCATTTTGGGCATCGATTCTATTCAGAGTCTCGGTTGTCTTTTTCAACCATGAGAGTTTCGTCCGTTCGTGTAAACATAACATAGATATTGTTGACAGCTACCCAGGCGTGTTTGACACGGTCATATGGAGATTCGAAGGGTGTGCTCTTTTATCTTTAGTTGAATCTGCTAAGGCGGTAGTGTTGTTGACCAGAACGGTGCCAGTTGCCTTAGGTGCGAAAATTTTAGACGAGCTGTAGCGTCTTGCTAGTTTGGGCGTAATAACCAAAGTTGAGGAGCCGACAGATTGGGTTGGCCAGGCGGCGATCGTTACTAAGAAATTTGGAGACCTACGCGTCAGCATTGATCCAAAACCACTTAACGACGTGCTCAGGAGGGAGCATTATACGCTACCGACACTAAACGACGTATTTCCGGTGCTTTCCAGAGCTAGAATATTCACTAAAGTCGACCTTGCTTCTGCGTTTTGGCACATATTACTTGACGAAGAGTTCAGCGTTTGGGATACCTTTCGGGCATTTCCGCTGGCTTCGTCTACCGTTTGAACTGAAGGGATCTAGCAAGATATGCCAGAAACCACTGGTGCAAGCTTTAGCCGATTTATCAGGAACGTTCTGTGTAGCACACGACGTTTTGGTTTTTGGCGCAACGCGACAGGATCACGACCAGAACCTCAACCAAATTTTACAGCGCTGCTTTGAAAGGAACTTCAAGCTGAAACGAGAGACGATCCAGTTGCGCAGGACGGAAGTGGTGTCTCGTGGAGACGTGCTAAGCTCCGAAGGACTGAAACCAGATCCAGAGAAAGTCATGGCTATCACAGATGCCTCTTCCTACTGACGTGAAAGCCGTTAGCAGGCCGAATGGGATGGTGAATTACCTAAGTCGTTTATTGCCAGATTAGCCGATGTAATGGTACCGATTCGAAAACTGACACAGAAGGATAAGTGGCATTGGGAAGCTTGAGGAGAGAGCGTTTCAGAAAATAAAGGACTTGATCACAAGCGCCCTCGTTCTCGCTTATTATAACCCAGCACTTCCGTTCGAGATCCAGTGTGACAGCAGTCAGTATGGTATCAGAGCCGTACTCATGCAGAACGGTAAGCCTTTCGACTTTCGCAGCTGGACGCTGACAGAGAGAAAGCGTCGTTACACGCAAATAGCAAAAGAAATGCATTGATTTCCGCCGTGGAGCGTTTCAATGATTATACGTTTGGCCGCAAATCCACCGCCTTTACCGACCACAAACCAGTTGTTTCTTACTAGCACTGCTTTTAGACACAGTGGGCGCCGAAGTGCCACTTGGCGTCCACCTGTAGCTGGTCAGCGATGGACCCAAATTGACCACATAGCCATAAGTTACAGGTGGCGTGGTTCCATTCTGGATTGCCGCTCGTACTGGAGTACCTGTGTCGACTCTGACCATGCCTTGGTGCGCTGTCGTTTCTCCATGAACTTTACCGGAAGGCGCACAAAGCGTCTCCCTCGATTGGCAACGGAGAAATTGTCCCCAGCCCTCTGTCAGGCAAGCCTATCAAGAAGCACTGCATAGCGAACTCTCGCTGTCTTGTCCTAATGATACTGAACTTCAGTGGAATAAGATCTCGGCCACTATGCACGACGCAGGAGCATCTGCTTGTGGCACTATCAGTCGTCATCGCACCAGTCACTGGATATCCGAGAGGTCCGTGAACCTTTTGGAAGCTAGAAGGCACCTCCCGGCTGGTTCTGAACACAATGTGACCAGACGGGCCATTAGGCGTGAACTAAAGCGGAGCCTACGTGCTGACAAGGAAGCCTGGTGGACCAGTCGGGCTCAAGAAATGGAGGAGGCAGGAGCAGTAGGCAATTACCGCAAGCTCTTCCAGCTAATACGCACCACTGGTCCGAGAAAACCAGGCGTCAGTGAGACAATCAGGGACAGCGCGGGTGCGCTGATACACACTAAGCAGCGCCGTATGGCTCGTTGGGCTGAGCACTTTGAACATCAGTTCAGCTGGCCCCCTGCTCCCGGACCTCTTCCTACTCAGGTGATGCAGGACGAGCCATGGACGGTTAGTTTAGAGCCTCCGTCGGAGGCCGAAGTCCGAAACGCGATCACAGCCCTTAATCGTTTTCGTGCCGCTGGCCCGGATTCCCTACCACCTGCACTATTTAAGGATGGTGGTGAGGTCCTCTGCAAAGCACTGACCTCCCTATTCGAACGTATCTGGAACGAAGAGAGTGTGCCGGCTAATTGGAGCGAATCGATTATAGTGGCAATATACAAGAAGGGGCAGTCGCACAGACTGTGCGAACCACAGGGGTATTAGCCTAACGCCAGTTGTGACAAAATTACTGGCCTCGATTATCGTTCGTCGCCTCACTGCAGAACGAGAATCTCGGATTAGAGAAGAGCAGGCCGGTTTTCGCCCAGGACGTGGCTGTATAGACCATATATTTACTTTGCGGCAGGTGCTAGAGCAGCGCCACGCATACCGCAGACCGACAATAGCTGTGTTCCTCGATTTCAAGAGTGCGTTCGATTCAGTCGATCGATCGATTCTGTTCGAAATACTTGCGCGGAAAGGTGTTCCCACGAAATATGTGAACATCCTTCGTGCTCTATACTCGAACACTAGAGGCCGCGTCAGGGTCTATGGTGCCCTATCAGATAGCTTTTCGACTACAAGTGGCGTTCGACAGGGTTGCCCGATTTCCCCATTTTTGTTCAATTTCGTCGTGGATTCTATCATGGAGTGTTCCCTTGCGGAATCTCACGATGTAGGTGTTGAAGTGCTGCCTGGTGAACGGTTAGTTGATCTAGATTATGCGGACGATATCGTCTTGCTTTTCGACAATGTTGAGGCGGCACAATCAACCCTGAATAGCCTATCCAGAGTGGTCCCATTATTTGGTATGCACTTCGCACCTTCAAAATGCAAAGTGCTGCTGCAGGACCACCAGCCACTCGATGACCCCTTGACGCTTGCTAACGAGGAACTCGATGTGGTTGATCAATTCACTTATCTTGGCAGCTGCATCAGCAATGATGGGCGCATAGAAAATGACGTTAGCTCACGCATTGCAAAGGCCAGAGCTGCCTTCTTGAACCTGCGTCATCTTTGGCGACAGAAGGGAGTTTCCCTCCGTCTGAAAGGCCGTGTATACAAGGCCACAGTGAGGGCCGTTCTGCTCTATGGTAGTGAAACTTGGCCCCTTCGGTCTGAAGATCTGAGGCGCCTTCAAGTCCTTGATCATCGTTGTTTGCGAAGCATTGCTGGTGTCGGATGGCACCAGCGTGTCCGCAACGATGATGTGCGTAGGCGAGTACTAGGGGGTGATGATCATGCTAGCTCCCTAGAACAACAGATAGCACTGAATAAGTTACGTTGGCTCGGGCACGTGCTACGTATGCCTGGTCACCGCTTACCTAGGAGGGCCTTGTTCAGTCTACCAGGTGTAGGATGGCGCAAGGCTCGAGGTGGACAGAAGTTGACTTGGCAGCGGGAAATGAAGTCACTGACGACCAAACTGGGTGCCGTTGGTCCGTCTCGCCTTCCGGGTTGGGGACCACGTGACTCACCTTGTGCTTGGCTCGAGACTTTACAGGACATGGCTCGCAACCGACACCAGTGGCGCGTCTGCTGCCGTCTCCTAATCGGATTGTCTGTTTAAAGTGTGTTTGGTGCTGAGTTATCTGCGGGGTAATGGCTGATTATGACGCGTGGCAGTGAAAGCCGCAAGGAAGCTGTCTCGCCGATGCCGCCTTATCTTTGCACGATAGCCAGCTGTTTGTGACGGTATGTTGTTAACACAAGGTGTAGGCGCCTTGACCCTGAATGTTTGCTTAGGGCATTAAGGTTTTCAGGTAAGTCCCCCTTCTCTCCCTTTTCTTATTCTTTATTTCATAGGTCCTCATGGTTGTATGGCAGCGAAGCATCAGTTCAAATGGCTGATGTACTGCTGTTGATGATGAAGTTGCACTACTTAACATTATAAGCAACCTTACGGCATCAAGCTTTCAGGGTCATATACACTTCAAATGGCTTCGTTCAGGATGATACTTAACCGTTAAGCAGTAACCTTGTGAAACCTGACCGGAAATGCGAAAAGCAATAAATGGATTGAGGGAATCAATAGGAACAGAAAGAACGGTGACCAAGTAGAAAGGATGCCGTGAAATCAGTAACAAAGGGGTGAACTGAAGCAGTTAGCAACCGCAGCGCAAAAGTTTGACAAGGAAGGAAGCAGTGTGAGCAAAATGATAGGAACGCAGAATCAAGTGAAGTTGAACACATAGTGTCTACGTTGGAGTATGGCACAAAACAACTCAGGCCACAAGTGATGTTCGTCGCTCCGGAAACAGGCACTGTCTTTTCAGCCAAAAGACTGATACGAAGTGATCGCCACGGGATTCGAAAGCATGTTTGATGAACTGCTAAGCCGACGCGTGGAGTAAGATCAGCACAGCGCCTGCTTAAACGACTACGACCCGGGCACTGAGATGCGGTGAATCCAGTTGCCACGGATCACGCTGTCAGAATAACAGTAAAAAGTAATGGTAAGAGCACGTTGAATGCTAATATAATACAAAAAATGGATCCAGTGCGTGAAACCAAGCTGGATGGAAAATAAACACCTAGATGCAAGAAACCGAATGCATAAGCACCACTAACTTCGGGGCTGCGTCTTGTTCGATGGAGTCTCCAAACACCGAGGTAAAACATCCAGGGGACCCGATCTACGTACCAGCCTGAGCAAATCTCAGTCAACTGCTTCATGCGTTTATGCCACGTCATCAACTGGCCACCTCGCGGTTTCGCCCAACTTGGTGCAGGCCCCACGTAGAACGCACATCAAAGGCAGTCAACGGGTAACAGAAAACATGAACTAACCAACGTAGGCGGTTGAACATTAGCAAACATTCGAGTGGGGCACCAGAAGGCTTCATGCGAAAAACCAACTGGCTGATCTCAGCACCGCACACCCGGTGTTGCCACCGGATGTTAGCACTACTCCATAAGCACCGTGATCAAACACGGCCAAGCATTTAATGCCTTCATTACGAATTGGCCACGTTTCTGACCTGTACATTAACACCAGCCTTATCGCAGGGTTATACACTCCACCTTCAGGCTGATATCCCGCCATCTCCATAGATGGTTGAGCCTCTAGAAAGCTACACAAGACTTGTTGATATGCGAAGTAATTTCCACAGTGATGTGATCACCAGAGCGGACACAACCACCAAGGTAAGTGAGCCGACCCACCAGTTTCAGTGGCTGTTCGCTGATGGCTAGAACCGGTGGCGTATCGGTCCAGTCTTGCAGTAGTAATTTGCAGTTTGAAGATGCAAAGCATGTATCAAGCGTATAGCGCTAAGCATCAGGCTAACTAGTAAGTTGGTGGTGCAACAATCAGATTATAAACACGAGAAGACGAGGTAATGAAGCAGCAAAAAGGAACGCACTGTCGAACTTACCAATGGCTGTGAACAATTCGGACACGTTTGTGCAAGCCTTAGCAGAAACTTCCATGAAGATGAGTCCTTTGGAATTAGCGTATTCCTGTGCTTCCTAGAGATACAAAACAAAACTGACAATGAAAGTGGCTCCTGCATTGTTAAATGTTCACTTGGATTTCTATGGTTGCAACATTTCATGAGGCGGACGTTCGCGTAACCTCAAGGAGCCAGAGATCAAATTTCCTAAAAACACGAGGGCAACGCTCAACTAACAGCCACCACTTATGCACCTTGCTGACTCGAAGGGAAAAGCTGATTGGTTCGTGTTCGTGAAGACAAGAAAATCAACATGATTAAACTGAAGGTTAACATGACGAGGGTTCTTCGCCACTACGTCACAGTGAGCTGGAACAGGTATATACTGTTGGCCGGAAACACGATAAACCAAAAAGTAGTTACGGAAGTTAAGAGTTTAAGGGAGTGATATCAGCTCAAATTGCATGGAATGCGAGTGATCGATGGCTAGTTAGTAAATTCAAAAGAGCATGAAAACAACGGGTTGGTATACCTGGTGAGCAGCATTTGCTTTGTGACACAAAAACGTCGTTAAACAGCGGAGCATTGGTGTAGAATGTATAGGAAACTGTATCTGTACCAATGAATGACCCGGAAGTGATCCGACCACTGGTTGGTTCAGCGGAGCTGTGCGCTACTGGGCGCGTTCCCATGTTGCGGATCAGGGAACGCCTTCCTTGCAAAGGTAACTGCGAATAGGTTTCGGCTGTGTGCAAGCGAGATGAATAAGCAGTCGCGACAATCAACGGCAGCGTTCTAAAGCATGGGGGGTTCTGGAATGATCACCTGGTTCCACATTAAATACAACAAGAACCCGTAACAAGCTATGTAAAAGCCAATGTGACCACTAAATTCTGCGACCAGAAGTGTGACCAACGGAGGCTGGATGAACAACCTCGATGGCTACCGATTTCTACGAAATCGTATGAGCCAGCTGGATGTCAACGGCGTTCGTGCATGCAGGCAATTCCGCTGGTCCAGGAAATTTCTTCTGGCCACCGTGCTGCTACACTCGGGCTCCTTGGGTGTCCTGAGTAGGTTGTTCCTATTCGAGAGCCGTGTTATCCTCACCGTGGTAGCCGGATACCAACAATTAACGATATATGTCAATCGCCCCGCTGCAATGCGGGCCAGGTCTTTATGACCCAAGGCTCCGGTTTGGGTCCTCTAAATCAACCCTATTCCTCGGTCTTACTTTACTTTACCTTACTGCTGCTAGCTCCTGCGACAGGATGAGCCGCGTTCATGAATGTCGCATATTGCAACTACCCAAACGCAGGTATTGATCCATAGATATTTCCAGTGACGAGTACCATGCATAGCTTAAAGTCCCACAAAATGGACATCCGATTTCACTGCAGCGAGCCACGTTTTCGATTGTCCACCACGGCGACGACACCAAGCCTGGCAAGGCGAGGTCGAAACCACGGCCCTAGTGAAGTCAGTGTTTGGTCTGCAGAAGACGTGACCGAACCACTGAAGTCTGCGGCGTTACATAAGCGCTAGGCAAACGGGAACCTCCATACCCACACAACAAATAAACCAGTATTTTAATGAACCTCTGTTCGGTTTCAATGTTCTCTGGCAATGATACTCTAAGCCGAGGTGCCAGCGGCCGAACGTGCTGGGCCGCGCTCTATGGCACCAAAATCCGATTACTTTATTTCACGTTTGGCCAACTCCCCATCCTTGGTAAGTATCTTACGTTTCCGAGTCCATAACACCATACCACCTTTGTTGAGTGTTCTCGCCATACAGATCAGGAAATCTGGTAAAGAAAGTATGTCACAGAGTAGCATTGACAAGCCGTTTCTAGCACTCCGTTCCCAATTCAAGCATGCGACATTTAACGCTCGGACCCTAATGCAACTCGGATCAAAAGTAGCCCCTGCTAGCACGCTTGAGACTATTTGCATTGATGTCTGATGCCTCACCGAAACCCGATTACAGGACCGTAGTACGAAGCCACGACTGGTTTCACCATCTGCGAGTTCCGCTGGTATGTTCGCACCGCGCTTATCTGGAGACTCAACTGCCGAAGCCGCTAGTCTTGCCGGCGTCGGAATTGCGTTGAAAACAAGTGCTGAGGTCGCGCAAATAGACTGGATCCCTGTCAACACTCGAGTCTGTGCAATCCGGCTGAAAACCACAGTGTGATTGTCGGGCCGCGGAGCGAGCAGACGTTGCTTGTTCGTTGTATCAGCGTACGTCTCTACAAACTTCAGCCCGGAGCCAATCAAAGAGGAATTATATAGTCAACTCGCCGACTTTCTCCAAAAAAGCGCCATACGGATATTGTGGCGCTTGCCGTGAACTTGAACACGCAGGTCGGCAGACTTAAGATTGGCGAGTGTGAAGTCTGTGATTAACATGGCCATGGTACTCACAGAACGGACAAAGGTGATCGTCTATTTCAGGTCTGTTTCGATCACAGCCTCTTCCTATAGAGTACTAGCTATCGGAGATCCAGGCGCCAACGCAAAACTCGAAGGCCCAGATCGCCTGAAGAGCCGTGGATACTAATTGACCACATCACTATCAGTTATCACTGGCAGATCTGCATACAAGATTGCAAGTAAATCTGGGTTATTTACCTCACTACGTATTACGCGCTCGTGTGTTCCAAGGTCGCTCTACGTTTTTGCGATTATCAACGGCATCGCCCAACAAGATATCGAAAGACACTGGACACACATCCGCAGCGCCATGCACAACTCTACGACCATGGTCTGTGGATTCACTAGTAGACCCGTGGACCACTGGATTTCTGCATGATGTCTCCAGCTTCTCGAAGCTCGTGGAGCGAACGCTGCTGGCGTTGGACACCATTCACTGGCTAGGACCACCAACGTTGAACTTAAACAGATACTCCGGGAGGATCGAGAGGCGTTGTGGACACAGTAGGTCATTGAGGTAAAGCAAGCACTCACCTCGGGAAATTTCCGAAATCCTTTTCTCCTTATACGATCCACTGGCTGCAAAAGATCGACTGTAAGCACGTTTCGTGCGAAACCAATTTAATGTCAATAACAACTTGTGCGTTGGGCGGAGCATTTGGAACCGCAGCTTAAATGGCCAGCAGCACCGGCGAGTTCTCACTGGAATCCAATCTGAAGACTGATGTGTAGACGCTTCACCATCATCTGAGATTGAGGTTACTCATGAACTTCGCTTGCCAAAGTGCTACAAAGTCCCTGGGCCCAGACGGACACCCTCCGGCTCTTTTCAACAATGGAGGTCCTCGTCCAAGAGATTTGGCTCACAGAAGCAATTTCGTCTGATTGGAGCTTAGCGGATACCGTGCCCGGATGGACTGTCCTAACCACAGAGGGATTAGTCTCGCCCGTGTTGCATCCAAAGTACTCGCCGCTCTGCTTTTAGGAAAGTTCATCCTAGTACATACGCGAAGAGCAAGCTGGGTTCCGCTCTGGCAGCAATTGTATCATCTTTATGCTCTAACAAATATTCCACCCGCATTCGATTCAATTGACCGAGCTGCTCTCTGGAGTTGTCTATGAGAAAAGAAGTACCCGAGAAGTGTCAGCATTCTTCAAGCTATCTATTCTCGAGTTTTGGGTCGAGTGCGGGTGTACGGCGAACTTACGCCCCCATTTATTATCACCAGTGGTGTGTGATAAGGCTACCCAACATCACCATTCCTGTTCAATTTCGCTATGAACGGCATCCTGGAGAGCGCTCTGGAGAATTGCAGATCTATCAGCGTTTAGTTGCTTCCGGTGGACCGACTTCCCTATTTAGAGTATGCAGATGATATTGCCGTAATTGGCAATTCATCACAGGCCGCTTAAAATGTCCTGTGTAGCTTGGAGATATCTGCCTCCCAGTTTGGAATAACCTTCGCCACATCGAAGTGTAAGGTCATTCTACAAGACTGGCTAGGAGCTGCTACTGCCCTTACTCGACCCGAGTCTCTCTGAAGGACCCGGTCTATAATTCCACGGTAAGAGCGGTCCTGCTCTACGGCTACGAGATTCGGTCTATTCGTGCAAAGGACGTTCAGGGGTTGTCTGTTTTTGATCACGGCTGCCTTCGGAGTATTGCTGGTGTACGATGGAAACGATAGGTTGCGCCAAAAGTATGAAGACGCTGGCCTCAAGTTCGGTCGCGGTCGGGCGCACTTAAAGGTTACCCTTATAATCCGCTTGTTCCTTTATGCTGATGAAGTTTTTGATTCGAAAGCGAAAGGTTGCCCACAAATTATACCAATCGGGTGTTATCAAACCCTTATGAGATCATGAGCACTAAATCTGCTAAAAGCATACTTCAAGATAATGAGTGGCTATATACTTGTCATCGACGGTTATAGGACGGCAAGTAGGATGCGGTTCTAACACAACCACTGGGAGTGGTCAACAATGACCTATGCATGAAGCATGTCCGCCCGTGCCTGGAAGGATTGTCGGCCAAAAGTCGAGAGGATTACGAGCTTGACATGTAAAACGAAGGTCGCCAGTTTGAATCCGAACATGTGCGGGTGACTCCGCGGTATAACCAGTACTCGGGCGGCTGGTGGTGGTCGCGTTGTAGGGAAGCGCCGGCGTACCGCTAATACCATGTTCCAATTTTTACGTATAAAGCACGCAGACCGGAAAAATGTATTAGCAGAACCCGTAATAAAGTAGTGGGAAAGAAGTTCAGTTAACAAAGAACCCACTCATCATCAATAGCAGTACATCAGCCATTTGAACTGATGCTTCACTGCCATACAACCATGACCCACGAAGAATAACAAAAGGGAGGGAATGGGGACTCACCAAGGAAAACCTCAATGCCCTAAGTAAACATTCAGGATCAAGGTGCCTACACGTTGTCAACAAAATACCACCACAAACAGCTGGCTATCGTGCAAAGATAAGGCGGCATCGGTCAGACAGCTTCTTTGCGTCATAATCAGCCATTACCCCGCAGATAACTCAGCACCAAACACACTTTAAACAGGCAGTCCGGACAGGAGACGCAGCAGACGCGCCACTGGTGTCGAATGCGAGCCATGTCCTGTAATGTCTCGAGCAACTG